TTATAGGCTATATATGTTATAGTCAGATGTGACAGTGCTAATGCAACACACATCGCCGCGGATGAGTATCTCTTCAGTAAGCAGACACACAAACTGACGCAAATTAAACTGAAAGAAAGTCACAGACACGCAACACACAATCTTATCTTTCCAGTGCTGATGCCGTTCTCTTATCGCGATCTTCTAGATTTTATAATTAGCTGATAATGAATAAAATGCAGCGCTCAACTGTTGCTTTCGTTGAGGTGAAATATTTTAAATTTGCATATGGGAATCGAAGATTGGATTTATATCCGTTTTGCAAAGACACGTTTATGTGGCCAAGTGTAAATTAAACCGTTTTGACAAATCAGATAGATATCCGATCAGAGAAAACACATGAAGTGACCAGGTGTAAACAGACCCTTATATTTATGACCCTAAACTGACTATTATTTCCTACATCGCTGTTCTCATTTCATGACCTCCCAGCTGATTGAATGTTATCACTTACATAACAGTCACTCACTTCTTGTTTCTGGTTTCACGTATCTGTATCTGGCAGAAGACAGATGGGAGAGTAATACAGATGAACGGAGAAAGACAGAAAAGATGAGGATGTCGTCTGTGTTGCTGCCGCACCTGCAGACTGAAAAACATGAAACTGTTTCCAAACTGCAGAAACACACAGAGCTCCTTACCAAGTTCTGTTTGGTTTCTTCTCACTGAGCGACAGAATTTCCTGATTTAAATGTCAAAACGACATCTCGGACAAAACAAGATTCAGTTACAGCCATGATCTTGAGTTACAGTATTTTCCACAGGCGTGTCATTTAGAAATCTTTTGTTCACTCTGTGTGTGTCTGTTTGTGGTTCATGAGGGTGTTACTACGTAAACATGGTTTATGAGGACACTTCTCAGTGTGTGTGTTATACTCACACACAGACGTCAACAGAACGGTCGGCTCTTCCAGCCCTGATTGGTTGCGTCTGTGGTCGGCAGCCAGCGAATCTGACACAAAACACTGGAGTCAGATCATCTGTATCACCATTTCTGTTCACAGGTTTGCAGCTCAACGGCTTTAGAAACAGAGGGTGAATAGTAATTTATAATCCTTTCCAATAGCGAGTACAACTGGTAAAGGACACACTTGTACTTTAGCAAACCAGGATGCCACTATTGGGCTATGACAGCATATCATTCACTGTAATTAGCATCTTTACTAATGTTCGACTGATATGTTTTTTAAAGGCTGATGCTGATATCTTGGAGAGCAGAGTGGATGATGGTTAATATAAAGCTGATATTTTTTTCCACAAATAAAGAAATTGTAGAAAAATGAAATAAAGTAAACTCATTAGCCTTTATATCAGACCATTCTTTAATGAACTTGGTACTTGACGGCCAAACAGAAAAACTTTCTGGTGAATCTGATCATTAAAAAATGCCTTTCAAACATTAATCTTTATAGTGCAGATGCATTTGTTCAAAGGGGGCATTGGATGCAAAATGTACTTTTACATGGTGTTTGCATATAAATGTGTGTTAGCAGTGTGTGGACACAACCACCCTACATTGATAAAAATCCAATTAACTCCTTTTGTAATCCCCCAAAAACCTAAGCACTTTCAATTATCAAGCCGTTTTGATTTTCAGACTGTCCCGTATTAGCATATCTCCGCCCTCAGCCAGTTGTACGCTGTCTGCGTTTTCCTCCGCGCTCGAGCAGCTGATAACAGTAGAGGTGTGGCACTGTGCAGTCCGATTAGTGTTTGGCATCAAAGTGAGAGTGATACAGAGCAGATGACTTCGAATCGCTCTTGCGGTACTTTAATGTCAAACACTGATCGGTCTGCGTAGTGCCTCTTCCAGTCGAACACACCTACTCTCTCGTAAGCAATGCAGGTGTTTGTAGTTAGACGTAAAAATGAACATAAGAGTCTTCATTTTGTCCCGACATGAGAGCCACTGAGGACGCAGTGGATTGTTTTGTTTTTGATGGTAACTCACCACCAAATACACAAAAAACAGAAGAGAGGGGTGGGGCGAGCAGCAGCTCATTAGCACTTAAAGGAACATGCACTGAAATGGCTTGCTGTGAACAGAGCTGTTTTTGACAAGGCAAAAAGGGTGTTGTTTTACATGACCATTGAGGAATTGTAACCAGAATGTTTTGTAGACATTTCCTGAAGACCCTAAAGAATCATTTGAATCAAATTGGGCATCCGATGTCCCCTTTAATAAATTAGCAGCATTCACGCCCCACAGATTTATGACCCTGCTGAGTGTGTACACTGCAGTGTGTTTGTGGGAAGCTGTGTAATGCAGGACGGTGTGTTACCTGAGCGTGAAGCGAGGAGCTGTAGGCATACGCCGGCGGAGGCAGCTCAGCGGGATACAGCGGGTATGAAGCCCACACCTCAGGACTGCTGGCGTACAGCGCAGGAACGCTCAACTCATCTGCACAAACAGCAGGAGACCATGAGTTTGCTGTGTGCTGCATTGTGCCTTAAACTTCCCATTCCATATAAATGAGTCTTAGCAGGACAGTCCCACCATTGTGTCCATGTGGACAACAGCGCAGGTGATTTGATCCTCAGAAACTAAAGGCCCGCTAGGTGGAGCACATGTGTCCACACTCACAGTCAATGGAGAATATCTGAGAAGCTCGCACGGTGCACACGACAGAGCGACACACTGACAATGAATACAGGCTTCAGGAGAGCTGAACTGATTTCCAAGGGAGCATTTTTCATTCATCTGAGGTGTCTGAGAGCCGTTCACACAAATTATTTTATATGTGTAGGTCCTAAACCAAAATCAAATAAAGAGTGATGACACTCATGTGTGGGATTATGGGTACAAAATCTGGTTGTAGCACATGAATATTAATTTGATCATGCTACCATTGCACGGTGAACTTTTCATCCTGACAGAGGAGTAAAATGTATTGGAAGTCAGCAGATAGATCTCAGGGCCTGTATTCACAAAACATCTTCAGGCTAAAAGTAGCTCATAACTCGCTGATTCAGGTGAAAATCTTAAAAATAATGTGCGTGTCAGTCCTAAATTTAGGACTCCTACATTTTTGTTCTAAGAGTATTTCAGTTTTAGCACTAAAACTAGCTCCTAAATCTGTGAAAGTTTAGGAGCAGTGAAGAGGACTCCTAAATCCCTAAGATCAAGCCACAAACTATCCTAAAACATCTGTTGCTGGCAATCTGCCTCTGAACGTAAACATTTTAGAAACATTTGATTATAATGAGTTTTTAAAAAGGTATATCGTCTTAATTGCGGGGGTATTAGGACTGTTGTAGAAATTATCGAGGACAATTTTTCTTTAATTATATCCTTGTTTTCATTAAGCAGCTGGGCAAGAAGAAACAGCTGTGCTTGTGTCCAGTTTGTTTTTTTTATATGTTTGTATGTCTTACTATCAGCCATGATTAGAAGAAATGAGAAGAGAAGAAATGAGAAGAGAAGAGAAGAGAAGAGAAGAGAAGAGAAGAGAAGAGAAGAGAAGAGAAGAGAAGAGAAGAGAAGAGAAGAGAAGAGAAGAGAAGAGAAGAGGACAAGGTCTGTTCTTGTGGAGGTTCTGATTGTCCTGTGGTTCACAGCAGCCTACGAGATCAAACAGAGTAAAGAAGAGTAAAAACGACAGTAACAGACTACAGGGCATCTGATCATGGACTGATCATGAATATCTTTAGCAACATTCTTGTCACAAGTAAATAAGAGTTTCATCAAATGTACACATTTAAAAGATTAAGTTACTTTTAGTCACGTTCTTTTCCAGCAGTGACGATCTGTCTGTATGAGCAGTTATCACGCGTCTCTGAGAGACTGGAATGTGACTCGTGTCCCTCTTAGGGTCTGTTTACACCCGGTCACCTCCAGAGCCGTTCAGAAACAGAGTTGCGACTCCCATAGGCTTCCATCGGAACTGAGGAATGCAGAAGTGCAGCGTGTCGTGCAGCAGCCAATAGTTCCAGCATTGAAGCCCATTCAATTCAGTGCTTCTCAAGCACACTCTCCAGAATGAAGAAAATACAGCATTTGTTGAAATTTTTTGGAAATCTGGCCAGTAGTGGTATTTTATGAAGCACATTATAGTTAATGTTTATTGTTAGATAATAGAAACTTATACTATAATTGCAGTTAGATTTCAGACCGATGAGCTTTGTAAAAGCGTTTCAGAAAGGCGGGGCATAGAGGAGAAACAATAATGTACAGTATGTGGAAAATAATGTGTTTTTTAACCTTTAACCGCATAAACACATTTCATTACACCAAATAGACAAAATAATGGTCTTTTTAGCAACGTCATATGACCCCTTTAATAATTACTAGAAATTGCTGTAAATATAGTGAAACTGCTGTTTATCCTACAGAAAAAGGGTTAGTTCACCCCTAAATGAAAATTCTGTCATTAATTACTCACCTTCATGTCGTTCCAAACCCGTAAGACCTTTGTTTATCTTCAGAACACAAATTAAGGTCTGGGCCGCATTCAGATGAAACTGGACAAGTGTAAATGCATCTGTTTGTTGAAACCACATGTGGAAATTTTACTCCTCCCCAAATGCTAAATAATAAACGTGAGAGAGCGTGTTATAGGCTATATATGTTATAGTCAGATGTGACAGTGCTAATGCAACACACATCGCCGCGGATGAGTATCTCTTCAGTAAGCAGACACACAAACTGACGCAAATTAAACTGAAAGAAAGTCACAGACACGCAACACACAATCTTATCTTTCCAGTGCTGATGCCGTTCTCTTATCGCGATCTTCTAGATTTTATAATTAGCTGATAATGAATAAAATGCAGCGCTCAACTGTTGCTTTCGTTGAGGTGAAATATTTTAAATTTGCATATGGGAATCGAAGATTGGATTTATATCCGTTTTGCAAAGACACGTTTATGTGGCCAAGTGTAAATTAAACCGTTTTGACAAATCAGATAGATATCCGATCAGAGAAAACACATGAAGTGACCAGGTGTAAACAGACCCTTATATTTATGACCCTAAACTGACTATTATTTCCTACATCGCTGTTCTCATTTCATGACCTCCCAGCTGATTGAATGTTATCACTTACATAACAGTCACTCACTTCTTGTTTCTGGTTTCACGTATCTGTATCTGGCAGAAGACAGATGGGAGAGTAATACAGATGAACGGAGAAAGACAGAAAAGATGAGGATGTCGTCTGTGTTGCTGCCGCACCTGCAGACTGAAAAACATGAAACTGTTTCCAAACTGCAGAAACACACAGAGCTCCTTACCAAGTTCTGTTTGGTTTCTTCTCACTGAGCGACAGAATTTCCTGATTTAAATGTCAAAACGACATCTCGGACAAAACAAGATTCAGTTACAGCCATGATCTTGAGTTACAGTATTTTCCACAGGCGTGTCATTTAGAAATCTTTTGTTCACTCTGTGTGTGTCTGTTTGTGGTTCATGAGGGTGTTACTACGTAAACATGGTTTATGAGGACACTTCTCAGTGTGTGTGTTATACTCACACACAGACGTCAACAGAACGGTCGGCTCTTCCAGCCCTGATTGGTTGCGTCTGTGGTCGGCAGCCAGCGAATCTGACACAAAACACTGGAGTCAGATCATCTGTATCACCATTTCTGTTCACAGGTTTGCAGCTCAACGGCTTTAGAAACAGAGGGTGAATAGTAATTTATAATCCTTTCCAATAGCGAGTACAACTGGTAAAGGACACACTTGTACTTTAGCAAACCAGGATGCCACTATTGGGCTATGACAGCATATCATTCACTGTAATTAGCATCTTTACTAATGTTCGACTGATATGTTTTTTAAAGGCTGATGCTGATATCTTGGAGAGCAGAGTGGATGATGGTTAATATAAAGCTGATATTTTTTTCCACAAATAAAGAAATTGTAGAAAAATGAAATAAAGTAAACTCATTAGCCTTTATATCAGACCATTCTTTAATGAACTTGGTACTTGACGGCCAAACAGAAAAACTTTCTGGTGAATCTGATCATTAAAAAATGCCTTTCAAACATTAATCTTTATAGTGCAGATGCATTTGTTCAAAGGGGGCATTGGATGCAAAATGTACTTTTACATGGTGTTTGCATATAAATGTGTGTTAGCAGTGTGTGGACACAACCACCCTACATTGATAAAAATCCAATTAACTCCTTTTGTAATCCCCCAAAAACCTAAGCACTTTCAATTATCAAGCCGTTTTGATTTTCAGACTGTCCCGTATTAGCATATCTCCGCCCTCAGCCAGTTGTACGCTGTCTGCGTTTTCCTCCGCGCTCGAGCAGCTGATAACAGTAGAGGTGTGGCACTGTGCAGTCCGATTAGTGTTTGGCATCAAAGTGAGAGTGATACAGAGCAGATGACTTCGAATCGCTCTTGCGGTACTTTAATGTCAAACACTGATCGGTCTGCGTAGTGCCTCTTCCAGTCGAACACACCTACTCTCTCGTAAGCAATGCAGGTGTTTGTAGTTAGACGTAAAAATGAACATAAGAGTCTTCATTTTGTCCCGACATGAGAGCCACTGAGGACGCAGTGGATTGTTTTGTTTTTGATGGTAACTCACCACCAAATACACAAAAAACAGAAGAGAGGGGTGGGGCGAGCAGCAGCTCATTAGCACTTAAAGGAACATGCACTGAAATGGCTTGCTGTGAACAGAGCTGTTTTTGACAAGGCAAAAAGGGTGTTGTTTTACATGACCATTGAGGAATTGTAACCAGAATGTTTTGTAGACATTTCCTGAAGACCCTAAAGAATCATTTGAATCAAATTGGGCATCCGATGTCCCCTTTAATAAATTAGCAGCATTCACGCCCCACAGATTTATGACCCTGCTGAGTGTGTACACTGCAGTGTGTTTGTGGGAAGCTGTGTAATGCAGGACGGTGTGTTACCTGAGCGTGAAGCGAGGAGCTGTAGGCATACGCCGGCGGAGGCAGCTCAGCGGGATACAGCGGGTATGAAGCCCACACCTCAGGACTGCTGGCGTACAGCGCAGGAACGCTCAACTCATCTGCACAAACAGCAGGAGACCATGAGTTTGCTGTGTGCTGCATTGTGCCTTAAACTTCCCATTCCATATAAATGAGTCTTAGCAGGACAGTCCCACCATTGTGTCCATGTGGACAACAGCGCAGGTGATTTGATCCTCAGAAACTAAAGGCCCGCTAGGTGGAGCACATGTGTCCACACTCACAGTCAATGGAGAATATCTGAGAAGCTCGCACGGTGCACACGACAGAGCGACACACTGACAATGAATACAGGCTTCAGGAGAGCTGAACTGATTTCCAAGGGAGCATTTTTCATTCATCTGAGGTGTCTGAGAGCCGTTCACACAAATTATTTTATATGTGTAGGTCCTAAACCAAAATCAAATAAAGAGTGATGACACTCATGTGTGGGATTATGGGTACAAAATCTGGTTGTAGCACATGAATATTAATTTGATCATGCTACCATTGCACGGTGAACTTTTCATCCTGACAGAGGAGTAAAATGTATTGGAAGTCAGCAGATAGATCTCAGGGCCTGTATTCACAAAACATCTTCAGGCTAAAAGTAGCTCATAACTCGCTGATTCAGGTGAAAATCTTAAAAATAATGTGCGTGTCAGTCCTAAATTTAGGACTCCTACATTTTTGTTCTAAGAGTATTTCAGTTTTAGCGCTAAAACTGAAATACTCTTAGAACAAAAATGTAGGAGTCCTAAATTTAGGACTCCTACATTTTTGTTCTAAGAGTATTTCAGTTTTAGCGCTAAAACTGAAATACTCTTAGAACAAAAATGTAGGAGTCCTAAATTTAGGACTCCTACATTTTTGTTCTAAGAGTATTTCAGTTTTAGCGCTAAAACTGAAATACTCTTAGAACAAAAATGTAGGAGTCCTAAATTTAGGACTCCTACATTTTTGTTCTAAGAGTATTTCAGTTTTAGCACTAAAACTAGCTCCTAAATCTGTGAAAGTTTAGGAGCAGTGAAGAGGACTCCTAAATCCCTAAGATCAAGCCACAAACTATCCTAAAACATCTGTTGCTGGCAATCTGCCTCTGAACGTAAACATTTTAGAAACATTTGATTATAATGAGTTTTTAAAAAGGTATATCGTCTTAATTGCGGGGGTATTAGGACTGTTGTAGAAATTATCGAGGACAATTTTTCTTTAATTATATCCTTGTTTTCATTAAGCAGCTGGGCAAGAAGAAACAGCTGTGCTTGTGTCCAGTTTGTTTTTTTTATATGTTTGCATGTCTTACTATCAGCCATGATTATTCTACTCTGTTAATTAAAAGGCTGTTTATATGCATATTCACTAATTGTTTATGAGAAGCACACATGTAAGTGGCAATTAGCTGAATATATACTTGTTTAATTAGTGACTCTTAGCCTGCGTTTTAAAATTTTTATTTGAATGTGGCTATTAACATTTTTATTTTTAAAGCTTTATTTGAATATGGCAACATAATATCACGCTCTACAATATTTCTATGAATAAATCTCTACACAGAGACTATCAGCCAATCATAGTTAGTAACTATACTGACATCATCCACAGCAACGAGCTCAGCCCAGTTGGCTTACTCAGCTTACTCTTAAGGCTTGTTCACACCGGGACGAGTATCGCGCGCGATTATCGCCGACGTTTAACGCCTCGTGACTAAACAAAGGGCGCCAATGTGAGTGTGTACACCGACACGCAAAACGCGAGGCATAAAAGCGGCATTTTTTAAAAACCGCCTCGGGCTCGTTTTTTTGGTTTGACGCGGCGTGTTAAAAACTGGCCGACTAATGAGATTGGCGCTTTTGTTCATGTGCCTGGAGCTGCTGAAGTTACAGTAAAACACGACTTGGTGGCACTCAAGCACAAAACGGTCTTGCCGAGCACACATTGATACCTAACGCCGAAGAGGAAGTAAGTAGACCAAGAAGATGCATCGAGGCAAGATGAATGTAGAGCTGCTGGTCTCATTGGTGTCTGAACACAAAGGGCTTTATGACAAACGCGACAGCGACTACAAAAATCTCGATAGGAGGGAGTTGTTATGGATAGGAATTGCAGATCAAATAGGATTCGATGTGTACCGGGGTTTTTCTGTTTTTCATTAAGTGCCATCTAATATCAGGGAGTGAATTTGCACGTTCACTCGGCTCATCGCCAGCGAAAATCGCTTGGGTATGAACACAAAAGACGCGTCGAAAAACGTCGGCGATAAGTGCTCGATAATCGTCCCGGTGTGTACGAGGCTTAACGCTGCGTGTTTCTAAGCATTTCAGGGGACCTTTAAGTGGTTAAGTAAGCCTGGTTTACATAATTAATAATAGTTTTGCATTCAAATACATCGCAAATATGGACACATTTAGTTGGATTAAGGCCGAATGAGAGAGGTAGGCTGCGCGAGAACGCCATTTACTTTCAGTTTCGCATTAAATTAGCCAGCCTAATTCATTTTGGCTTGTTTTCTTCTGAAACCGTTCAAAATAGCCTATAGGCTAAGTATTGTGTTTATTGTTTGTATAGTATAACATATCGCTTTATTTACCGGTGTTATTCATGAATGTAATAATGCGGTTTGTGCTTATCTGTGTTTAACCTAAACTAGGCTACAACGTAACATTAATGTAGACCTATACCTGTATAATCACTTGGGTATGAACACAAAAGACGCGTCGAAAAACGTCGGCGATAAGTGCTCGATAATCGTCCCGGTGTGTACGAGGCTTTAGTTTAAGACTTCAATCTATTCCTTAGTAAAAGTTTGTCTCAGCAGCTTTGTGAATTGATTCTAAGAGAAAACTCTTAGATAAAAACTTTTACTGCTATTTAGGAGAACTCTTAGTGGTAAGATCAAATGTTTTCTGCAGGATGTTTTGTGGTTCCAGGCTCTCTGGGAGTTTCATACTATCTATGATAAAGAGATCAAGTCTAGATATAGTTAGACAAATGCTTGTGTGTGTTTTGCTCACAGGGCTCTCGACTGACACAGAGAGGTGCAGGACTCTGTCTGGATGCCGAAGGGTTTGGAATTCCTACTAGTTTGTTCTTGGCCATCTTGGTGTTGGCTTTGGCAAACTCCAGCCGTAAAGTCTGGGGAATATCCGGGTCAAAGCGAACGCCCTGACAAAGAGGAACAAACATCATTATAGCAAACGTGCTGGATCCATCTCATCCTCACATCACACTCTTATGATATGAGCTTGACATGATGTGTGCTTTTTCATCTCAGGTCTGTTCTGATGGGTCACAGGTATTAGGGGAAACAATGCTATAAGAAATGCTGAAGAACGTCATTCCAGACACCACAGATCCACTGCAGTGTGTCTACGGCCACAATAGATGCAGTATCACACATGCTTCACACCGCTCCGACCCACCTGGACAATAAAAACTGCTTTGTGGGGCTACCATATGTGGATTTAATACTGTCATAGCTGATCTACGAGCTGCTAGATCTGGGCCCTGGATGTCCTCGCCAGCAGACAGTGGTTTGGATTGGCAGTGAAACCTCTGGCCCTCAACACTGGCATTAATGGAGTTTGCTGACAGTCTGATCAGTGATGATGAGATGGGCTTCTAATGCAGCCGGTGATCACGCACACATTCATATCAAAGAGGACAACGGCTTCAGATGTTCAGGGAGGATGAGATGAATTGAATAATGCTGAAAATCAAGTATACTGCATTTTCAAATGGCAAAGAAAGTCTGCTTGTGGAGATTTGTGTTTGTGGGGTTAAACTCGGACGACTGAAGGCAGAGACAATCAGCTGTTCTTGCACATTAAACACTTCTGCAGTTGATTTTTCACCAGTTGGACAGAACTATATCAGGACAACCTCTAATGTAATTTTACATCAGAAACAATGAGATGAACTATATTAAAAATACTTTTCAATACGTTTTCAATCCAGCTATCTGTGTGACGTAAGAAATAGTTAATCTATGAGTCAAAATTGACGTCAAGTTTAGATGATATTCACATATCAACGCCTGCAATCAAAAACTAACCAGTTTTGAACAGTTCACTTCAAGACAGTAACCTATACAAAGACATGGGAAACAAAGCCATTTTAATTAATACTGTCTTTCATTATGTGTGCATCTAATTTTAAGATTTATTAACTGCAGAGCTCAAATCCTCTCAAGGTCAGTCTCTCCTGTTCACACTGAGATTAAACCAAATCCTGGATCAATGAAAACCAGAGAGGAAGATGAAGCTCTTTAATCTATGGATTGTCTCGTTTTCAGGGAAGAAGAAAAATGTGTAAAAGTGTCTTCTGTCAGAATCACCACACGAGGAGCCTTTGGTCTTTTTTTAGCAGAGTTATGTTGAGATGAAGCGTTAAACTTACGTTCAGGGCGTTCTTAGCAGTCTCCGCTTCTGAGCGACTGTCAAAACTCACAAACCCCACCGGCTGCAGAAACACAGAAATCAAGGTAAGAAGAAGAAGCAGCTCTTCAAACTGCACATAACAGCAGTCTGAGACAGAGTCATGACTATACTGAGACAGAGACGACTGAGGGAAAGTCAGGATGAAATGACATTCAAAGCACATTTTACTTGCTTTTATTGTTTGACTAGCATTGACTGCTGTCACTGATAACACTTTATTTGACTTTATTAGTGAAGATACTGCATAGACATTTTCTATCAGCTAACCCAACACCTACCCCCTAAACTCACCCATCACACAAACATGTGCACAACACTAGATTCACAACAACAACATCTGCTGGCTGATTTATACACACACACTCTCTCTCTCTCTCTCACTACACACACACACACACACACACACACACACTCTCTCTCTCTCTCTCTCTCACTACACACACACACACACTCTCTCTCACTGCACACACACACACACACACACACACACTCTCTCTCTCTCTCTCTCTCACTACACACACACACACACTCTCTCTCACTGCACACACACACACACACACACACACACTCTCTCTCTCTCTCTCTCACAACACACACACACACTCTCTCTCTCACTACATGCACACACACTCTCTCTCTCTCTCACTACACACACACACACACTCTCTCTCACTGCACACACACACACACACACACACACACACATACTCTCACTCTCAAACACACACACACACACATACTCTCACTCTCAAACACACACACACACACATACTCTCACTCTCAAACACACACACACACACATACTCTCACTCTCTCAAACACACACACCACACACACACACACACACTCTCTCTCTCTGCACACACACACACACACACACACACACACATACTCTCTCTCTCAAACACACACACACACACATACTCTCACTCTCTCAAACACACACACACTCTCTCTCTCTCTCACTACACGCACACACATTCTCTCTCTCACTACACACACACATACACGCTCTCTCTCACTGCACACACACACACACACACACATACTCTCACTCTCACTCCCAAACACACACACACACACACACACACACACACACACATACTCTCACTCTCTCAAACACACACACTCACTCTCTCACTACACACACACACTCACACATCAGCAGTGTTGGGGAGTAGCTAGCTACAAGTAGCAACACTATTAATGTCATTAAATTTTTTTCAGTATCTTGACAGTAGCTCTGCTACTTTTAAAACAATGTACTACTTTTTCAGCAAATAGCGGCGTAGCGCGACAATAGCTTCATTCTATTTTGTGAACCTGCGATGGACTGAAGCAGCGCAGCATCTTTTACCAGACTGCATACTAAAATAGTGGATTACCACCATATATTGGAATATCACACATCTTACAGCTTCATGTTTATATATTCATATATTTATTTACTTAATTTGTTTAAATAACATTTTGCGAATAACAGCAGTTGAAATTCAATCCGTGTAGTATTCTAACAACTGGTAAGTAACAATAAGTAAGAACTTTTTTGGGCTCTTTTTAAGGAGAGAGTTATATGATTACCATAAATGATGTAATGATGTTCAGGAGTGGGTTAATATTTCAAATTCAACACACACTACTATCCATGATGGAAGAAAATCAAGAGATCGGAGGATGGAGATAATTACAAATAGCCTTGTTTGTCCAAATGTATGTCCCTCAAACAAATACATCAAGCACTAATTTAAAGATGCACATACAGGTGAGTCATTTTAAATGTGTTAATTGTCCTGCTTTTTTGCACTCTACATCAGATGTCTATCTCATTACTTGATTCTCATTCATCAGTCTGATCTGCCCCGCCTCAGTTTTGTAATTAACCTAAAAGACCAATAACATAGATACTGGTGGCTCCATTGCTTTGGCAAAGCATCTGTTGCTCAGAAAGGGAAATTGTGAAAAGCTTAAATGTTTAATAATTTCAAATAAAGAAATTAAAACATAATAATTACTGCAATTTTACTATTTTTGTGTAAAGTGAAAATGTGTATATTCTGAAACATGCTTTTATTTTGTAGTGCACTTGTGTATTACACTATCAGGCTAATATATTTCTGTCTTGCATAATAATAATAATTATTATTATTATAAATTTTTTTTAAAAATCATTAGTATTTTTTCCTTTGTAATGTTTGCTTTTTCCCCATTTATTCTATCCTCATTCAGAGATTGCTTCCATCTAAACTGAAAGAATGACAGAGAATGCAGCAACAATTCAGAAATAAGATGACAACACCCTGCATTCAAGAACAGACCTCAAGCTCGCCCAGTGCTGTATTTCATGAGTGTTCCGGGAAAACTTCAACAAACTGGTCCTGATTTTTGTTAGTCAGGGCATTCATCACCTCAGTATTTTTGAAAGGGAATAATTTAAAGAATTACTCAAACAGATGTCTAGATGATAGTGATGTCTAGAAAGACACTGGTCAAAATGTTGGATGAGAAATGCTTCCATGAAGGCAGATATATGTGAAGTTCTGTCTGAGCAGGAATAACAACCACAGACACATGGTCTGTTATTACCAAGAGCTATCTGGGAGTGACTGTCCACTGGACAGATTCAGAGACACTCACAACCTCTTCAGGGGCTTTAGTTTGCTGAGGACGAAGGGAAGACACAGAGACGCTGGAAAGTGTTCACATGGAGCTCAGCATTCAAAGCTAAGCAGTGTTAACCACTGCAGACAAAGGTTGGTGTTTGGTGTGTTTGAAGATGAAGAAGAGGTGACTGAAGATGATGAAGAAACTGATGCAGAGGCAGATCTTGAGTTTACTGATGTTGCAGCATTTCCAAATGAGTCAGAGAACGATGACTAGCACTTGCCCATCGACGCTGTGCCTCCATACACACACTCAACCAAAGATGCTGAGGCAGCAGTGGAAGACCCTTCATTTACAAAGGTTTCAAGGGCCACTTTTGCCAAATGTCAAAGCCTTTGGAATAAGCAGAATAGAAGCACACAAGCTTCTGACACCATTAAAGACAGACTTGGATGCAAGCTGGTTGTGCCAAATGTAACTCGATGGAATTCTGCACATAATGCAATGGATCGACCGAAACCTGTATTGAAGAGAAACCTCAAGAGCTCCGTGATGTTTGTGAGAAAATGGGCCTTCCACGGCTGAAGAGATGACATTCATCAAAGAATATCTAGAGGTGAAATTGAACTGAAAATAATGTATTGAATCAATCAATTCAATACATTTACTTGTGTAAATATTTTAGTGTTTCACAGAATCCCATATTTGTATTATAAAATAATACCATAATTATTTAAAATATATAAAGCCTATATAAGTAAAAAAAAAAAAAAAAATAAAGGGGTCATATGATGTTATTTTGTGTATTTGGTGTAATGAAATGTGTTTATGCGGTTTAAGGTTCAAAAAGCACATTATTGTTTCTCCTCTATGCCCCGCCTTTCTGAAACACATCGATTTGTACAAAGCTCATCGGTCTGAAAAGCGAGGTGTGCTCTGATTGGCTCACATTCATCTCAAATGTAAGTGTTAACTCTTAAGAATACAATAATCAACATGAATTATGCATCCTGTGATTTTCCTGGTGTATTGTTGTTACTCATATTGTCATGTTTTGTTCTGTGTTATTTCACAGCTCATGCACCAGTGTCCAAGGCCCTCGATGCTCTCCAGTCATCATACCTCGGAGACTTGGCCCTTGTTGAGAAGCTGCAGTCAATCCAGCAAGAAAACCTCCAATACTGCGGGCCATTAGTTGATGCTATCGTCATTGGAGTGAGCAGACCTTCAGTTATCTTTCCAGTAAACTGTATTTGATGCCAGCGGCTTACACACCGAACGAGCAAAGAGATAAAACAGCAGTTTTCATCACGCAGAGCCAGATGATTCTAGAGAGTCAGAAAATGAAGGAGATGACATCTCAGCTTATTCTCCAGGAAC